TAATTTATAAGTTCATGTACGTGTACAATGACTACTGAAAAAAGTTATATGCGTATGTAAATTCACACCTACTTATAAAAACGTACCTTTACTTAACACAATGTTTATTCTATTACGAAACTGCATATTTCTTAAAAAAAAAGTTGTCATTAAGGGGGAATTTCAGTAACTATTTGCTGTTTCAAGCATCTGTAGAAATTAAAATAAACAAATTGGAAAAAAATAATGGTAGACAGAAATCTTTGAACATTAGTAAGTAGTAGTAGTAAATTAGTTAAACAGTAATTTAAAGATTACAAATTTTGAAACATGACAAATCGTACTGCTTTAACAAAAAATGATACTTTAAAAGTTTAATCATCCACCTAGTGTAAAGCAAATACCTCACTTTAGGAAGATGAACGCGTTATTCAAACAGTCTACGTCAAGATCGCGACTTTTGATCTTTGGTGTGGTCTCAACGTTCAAGCGCATTTATCTGGACACCTACTATGAAGTTGTGAAGTATCGACAAGCAGTCAAGCCGTAAGAGAAAGTATAAAAGTTACTGAACTGTGTTAAATCTTGCGAAAAAGCGTGGTGATTTATAATTGAAAAATAAACAAAATTAAATTTTAAATAAAATTGATTAGTATGATAATTAGGTCGAATTTTAAATCGGCACGGGCTTGTAAGACCAAGACAACTTTTAATTCTCACTAGACTGAAAGTTCTTTTGAGCCGGAAATAATCCGTCTCAAAACTTAACTTTTGTGAAGTTCGTTCCTTTTGGGTATAAATAAATCCCAAGCGATTTTCACTAATTTAAAAAATAAATTAATTAATAATTTAATGACTGAAAAAAAGTTCAATACAATCAGTAATATTAAATTCGTATTGCTCGCACAAAAACCGTTAAAGTTTAAAATTTAAATTGGAACCAGAAACACTAGCAAAGACGCTAAATATATGTTTTCTTTTTTAATCTATTTTCTCCTTTAGTAAGAATATAAACGCACCGGAATCACACCCCAGCGGCTACAGTTCTGTTAGTTTTCTTCCGGAATTTCTCAAATTTAAAATTACTTTTATAACATTCCAAACTTTTGTTATTTCAATTTATTTTTGCTTATGTTTTGTAAAAAATGTTGTTTCAAACGGGTAGAAAATTTCCTCGATGTAAATTAAAAATTTAAGCACGAGCTACCTTTATGGCAAAATACATCGTTGCCTTCATTAACCGCAGTACTTAATAATAGCTTTATCCGCCTAAACAAATTACCTCAGGCAATCAAAAGCTTTACGACTTCAGCATGATAAATAGCTACCTTATGTCTTATTCACGTTTCCGCCAAGACCATCAAATTCAAATGAAAGCGTCTGGAGTCGCCATCTAGTAGCTATATAAACAACACTTCAATAAGTAGCCGAAGCAAAAGCAATAGCATGCACTCCCGGCTGAGCTTTTGTTGAAAGTTTAAAACTATTTCTTGCTGCATTTTATTTAAACTTTTACAATGAAATTGTTCATTGTTTCAGGTAAATTCCTAATAAACTGCAATTGCTTCTCCGCGTAACTCGATTGCAACTTTGATCTTCAATATTTAATCAACACGGGACGAGTTTTACAACTTTGCAGTAAAACAACTGTATACATTTATAGCAATGTGGCAATGCTATGTAACATAATAATTACCTGCTGCTTTCAGACTGTTTTCTCACCACACTGGGAATTTTAAAAAGTTTTATTTTTAAGACTGAAAAAGTTTGCTTTCTTAACAGTGAGAAAAGCGCACTAAACCTATCATTGATTTCATAAGCGCGAAAAAGCAATCATAGCCATGAACATCGACGTAACCCTATGCGATCCTTTCGGGAACTGCATGTCACAGCTTTCGTCTAAAACCCAAGTATTGCGCAGGATCGTCCTGAAATTATCTCTCAAAACGAACAATAGCATTGCGTTCTGAAGCGGTTTCTTTCTTTTTAATGGAACTGTATCCAGTACGAAATAAAAAAAGTAGCATTTTTAGAAAGAAATCAAAGAAGCATTGATGACACAGTTTAGATTTCAAAGAGTATTGCGGGGGATGTTTTATTAGTTGCCGACAGCTGAGCTTCCTTTTCTCTCTAGTTTTATTGACACTTTTGTTTGAAGTTGACGTTTGTTTTTGTAATTGAAAGTTATTGAAAATATTCTTCTGGGAAATAACTGGTAATACGATATTACTCGTCTTACTTATATTTCGCGTAATAAAGAATTTGTATTGTAAATTAAATATTGATTCAAGCACCACTTGGAGTAATGCTGCAAACGATAGTTTCTCTTTCTTATTGCCTTTCGCCTTTTCTAAGATCACAATCTTAAATATTACCTTTTTGACTTAGGGCTAGTTTCATAATCGTACTTTACGAAACTTTAAAGTTAAAGTTGGTTTAGAATGTGCTAATTACTATGGATATTTTAACAAAATTTCACTTTCTAAACTAACTTTACTTTAAAATCTCTTTAATTTGATTATAAAACTGGCCCTTAATTGTTTTTTTTTATATTTATCTACCCACAAACTAAAAATAATCATACCCACGTCATATTTAAAAAGCTCTGAGGTTCAACAATTACGCCATTATACGCATTACAGATTATGTTCTCAACAAAATTCAAATCGAAGGGTATAGAAACTTTTATAGAAGTTCGATGTAATAAGCTTTATTTTATAATTAATCCATCGTTTCTGTTTATTGAATACATACCTAGTTCGCCTAGATGTGAAGTTTAATTAATCAGTTCAGTGTGTTGGTGTAGAAAATCCTAGTGTAATAAGGTAATTTGTCTTTCAAGGAGATTGCACACAGATTGCAAAACATACCTGGCGGAACACGGCAATTTCATAAAAATATGAGCGTTATTTTATTACCATTTCTTCGTAAGAAATAGACAGTAAAAAATGAAATAAACCCCGTCTCTATTTCATGGTAAATTACATCTTTAGAAATGGCCGGGATTCGTGAAATGGGCTTTGCAAACTTTTGTTTGTAAAGTTTTGAATTAATCAGCGAAAATAGCAAATGAGATGCAATTGCGGTCTTCGGTCTAAAGCGATTAAATAATAATTCTTTAAAATTTCGTTTATTTATCTTGCATTAATTTCGTATTGTTAAGAAGCAAAGTATCCATCTGGCAAACAACAAAAATGAATCTGATTAGTGACGTGAATGAAACGATTAATTTGATCCTTGTAAAGAAACGAGCTATTTATACGCTTTTCATACTTTTGTACTGTCTCTAAAATAAAAGTAAATTGAGGATAATGAACTTATTCATTAATTTAAATTTGAATGCACGGGAGCTGTAATGGATTAGCTACACAACCTGTTCAAAGTGGATAAAGTACGACGGACTACATTGTTATTAACAAACAATAAACAACAAGACTAACTTTAAAATTTTGCAAATAAAAAGAAAGTTTAAAGAAAATGGCCTGCAAATTTACTAATAAAAAAAAACTATAAAAATTACAATAATATACGACTGCCTCTGTAAGTTACTCAAGTAATCTTGAATTAATGAATTTTTTTTGGCTAGAAAATTTGATTGGTTTAGATGATTCAACACTTTCTTGTTATTACCAAGAAAATTTATTAAATGGATGGTGCCGATGTTTATCCTTAAAAATATGTAAACAAAGAGGCAAAGAAAATCAAGTAAATTAATCTTAAGTACCAAAAGTCAAAGCTATTTTAGTATTATATTTCACTTAAAGAATTGATTTTTAAATATTAATCATTAATAAAATAAAGGATATGTATTTCATTTAGATAATGGATTTTCAGTTTTAATTCTCCTAATAAGCTTAAAGGCTTAGAGGCTTAAATAACACAAATGCATTACTACAAAATTCTAAATACAAAATCTGTAATATATTCGTATAATAATAAAAATGCAGTCCATCAAACCATAAACCACAAATCACAAATCTTAAGTTAAGTCCAGATACACAAACTTTATTTAAAGTATTAATTATATTATTACAGTATAATATACAATTATATTTACAAGTTTAAAGATACATAATACTGAATTTTAATTATAGTTTTATTAAATACGACTTCTCAAAATAAATAACTTCTTTATTTCCAATTCTGTTTTTACATGTAAATTAATTTGTGGTTAGATTTTAAAAAACCCTGATTGTTTTCATAAGCAGATCAAGGCGATCAAATAGACAAAGTTAACAATTATGTTGATTCTCTGACTCCTGGATCAAATTTGATGCGCACTGCACTTTCTACATGCGTTGTCTCAACTGAATAGCTAATTAGAAAACAGTAACGGTTGCAAATATTATTATTTTTGTATTAAATAAAAAATAACTTTCCCTGCTAACTCTTCTCAATCCTCCATCAAAACTCAAAGTTCAATATTCTTTTTTAAGCATTATAAAATCATAGAGAAAACATTGTTAAATCGTATTAAATAATTTAACATTTAGAAAGTCAAAAATAAAAAATAAATTCTTTTTTAATTTAACTTTAAATTAAAGTTTTTTTACAAATATTTATTACATTTTATGGAAAAGTAGTGTTAAAACACAACTTTTTTGTATTTGTTATTTTTGGTAATTTTGTGTTGGCCTAACAAATACAGGGTGCGGCAGAACTCACGCCCCAGAGAAAAATGCCGTATAAGGTAAGATTCCAGGAACATGGAAAAAATGTTAAAAAAATTTTATCTTTAAAAATTTCGAAGTTATGAGGGTTTTAAAGTTTGCACTTTGACTCTATTTATTTCTGTTGGAAAAATAATTTTCCAAGTTTTTTTGCTATAGGCTATTAAAAGAGGAAACAAGGAAGCTGTATCCTAAATTGTAACTTTGTTCAATGTTATTTGTAGCTTTTATTGGCAAAATTTTTGTCTTTTTACTAAATAATTGTAAAAAACATATACAAGATCATCAGTATCATTGAATAGATATAAAAAAATGTAAAATGTCAAAATTTTTTGACAGATAGAATTTTTTAAACATTTTTTTCATGTTCCTGGTATCTTACCTTACTTGAAAATTTTCTCTGGGGCGCGAGTTCTGGCGCAGCCTGTATATTAGTGACTACACACAAACAAGTTCGCAAACTTCGAGCGTCATTTATAAAGATTGTGTATATTTTATTTCTTTGTACACAATAATAATAAATTAAACACAATAAACCCGTATTTTCTTACCATCAGATGTGGCAAAAATCATAAATTCTTAATTAAAATTAACGTTCACACAACAAATGAAGGAATAAACAAAAATAAGTCTGAATAATTACATAAATAAATAGGAAACGGCAAGTATCCACACACAACCCATTATCCATCTCTTATGTACATTTGTTTCTGGTTAAACCTAATTTAAAATGTACCCCTACAATAACGTAGCAAACATTCCGAGCGTGTTTTCCGGGTAATGAATCTAATTTTTATTTGCCATAAACCGAGCCTCCGAGTCTTGTTGATTTTGAGCGATGCTGAAGTTGGTGGTGTTAATACACAGTGTACACTTGAGTGTATCCCGCCAACGTGGGAGTTACGGTCGAGGCGACGACGTCCTCGTGATATGCCTTGGAGCCACTGAGCAAATAGGGCGCTACAGTTGATCCGATGTAATTACCCAATCCATTTATTTCTCCGTTGGGATAAATTTGCACTTTGGGTTGCCTATTAGAGAAGTGCACACTGGTCTTTGGGTAAGTAGGACTGGGTGTGGCAACCACGTAGGAATCGTAATCCTGGAAGCTTTTGGTCGGAGGCGTTGGCGAAGGTGCGTATAAGTTTTTGCCATACGCAGGCAAATGCGATCCGCTTATGTGATCGTATTGGTAATCGTAAGAATTCGCCTTGAGAATAGGTATTGGGATTTGGCTGTGTTGAATTTGTACATTCTGCATGGGAAGGTCGTTTTCGGTGTATTTGACGTCTGCTTTGTAGCCGTTTTTGTCGGCTATGTATGACACTATTTGCACCCTGCCGTCTGGCAATTTTACTCTGTATTCTCCATTTGTAGCCTGAGAATTTTGGGATTGAGTGTGAGAGAAGTCATCGCCGGTTAAGTGATCCACTACTTTATACGAGAACGCATAATTCTTGCGATCCTAGAACATGAAAAGCGAGCGAAGAATATTAACATCTTTAGGAGGGTTTCCACCAAATAAATTAATTGCCACCAACGTGGCCTATACTTACGTTGGATAATGAGGAGAGAGTGTAATCCTTCCTTAACTGAGAGGCTGGCTCAGAAAGCACTCTCGCCGCATGCTTGGATAAAGCTTCATATACCTTCGGATTTATGTTCGGGCTCTGCGAACAACATCATCAATATTGTAAATATCATCTTCATGAAGAAAAAAAAAACAGTAAGAATAATAGTAATACATAAATACAGAATTATAACAATACTAGCGATTAATATAAATATTTAGAGCGGATTTGTGTAACACCACTTGATTTTTAACAACATTTTCACTTTTTTTTTGTTTTTATTGTAAGTAATTTACATGCGATCTTGGCATATACCTGAAATGTGTAACTAAATAAACCCGACAAATATCTGTAAAAAATATTTGCTTCTCAGTTTTTCTTTTATTAAGTTTTCTACCCTTCCAGCAAAGTATAATTTCGTTAGTCAAATTTAAAAGCGGTTTTTTACTTTATACGCATAGATATTTTGCTCTATGGTGCTCATTAGTTTTACCAATATTTGAAATTTTATAATTTAAACATTACTGAAATATTTGTTTCACACATGTAACATTTTGGTTAAAGTTAAATTTTATGAAATGAGAAATACGCTTTGTATGAGGGTTTCTGTCGTTCTATTGCGAATTTACAAATATTTTTTTAATTCTGCCACGGGCACCGGTGCTTTTGCATAATTGGTACAAAAATTCCATTCATGTTAAATGAATTGACCCAATTAATTTTGAATTAATAATCCTGCAAAATGTGCTGGCCAAAACTGAGAGCTTCTGTTTGAACACGAATTATGTATTCAATGTTTTAATCTTTAATTATTAGTTTACGAAGCTGATCCGGTGGTCGTAAATTAAGAATATAATGAATGACATCAACCGTAGAATCAATATTTCATAAATTTACTCTGATGGAATTATAGCTTGCATGTAAGTATAAACATCCTAGGTAAGAACATTTTTGACGTCATATAAAAATTTCACTTACTATAATTAAGTACGAGGAGAAAGAACGTAATAAGAATTTTATTTATTTAAGATATAATAAATTAAGACAATAGATAAATACGAAATTATCTTTAGGTTACAACATTTCAGAAAATAATTGAAACAAAATTGAATAACTAATAACATTAAAAAAGACTCATATCAAAGTTTATAATTCTTGACAACATGAAAACAAGAAGGTATAAAATCCAACAAACTCGGATCTCCGATCATAACATAGATTTATCTTAGCAATGACTTATTCATTGTTTATGATTCCAATAAAATGTTAATAAAGCCGAAAAGTCATAACAATCTAACGCATAGAAAATAATAGTTCAGAAATATGAGTTTATATAGGTTGTAGTCAATGACATCCGTTGAATTTATAGTGTACATCCCCGGTATTTGTTTAGTTATCTATTGTAAAAATACAAATTTATAACTATAATTAAACCTGGTTTTTATGTCCCAAGAAAATAGGAATCTTTATTCAATTCGTATACAAAAGTTATTTCAGTTAATAAAACATACATGGTGGAACGAAGACAATTTAAAATTCTTTACTCCTTTATCGCATAATGTATGTACCAGTTCACTAGTTATTGCATTAGAATTGTAATAAAATTCGGGCGTTCTTTAAAGCACGCACAATTCAGCTCTTCGTGTACAATGTATAAGCAGAAACCGAGACATGTCCAGATCCAGTCAAGCCTCCGCCTTCAAGTTGGCATATATCCGGGGTGGCAACCACGTGTTTAGGCTATTATTCTTGTTGTTCTGGCAGTGTGACGTGACTGTAATGCACTTTCCGGGACTGGAGTTAAACCACGGGGAATTAAAAAGCAAGGTCCATATATTTAAATGTCTAACTTATGAATATTTCAGTTCTCTATGAAATTTCGCTTCTCACTGCTCAAACTAAAAGTTAATGTATTGTTTTGGAAGTTGTGACGGACATGTTGGTCGGGCCCTCATACCACAATTTTATGTACATTCCCAACCATTTTCGGTTAAAACAGAAAATTTAGAGATAAAATATGTACAGAAACTGACATTGTGATATTCTGAATTCATATAATATATTTGTTATAAGTTAAAGTCTATCTATATTTGCTTGAATTTTATGGTGCAATAGAGGCAATTAATTTTTGGGCCTTTAACGATAAAGAAACCCCAACCCCTCATTTGTAAAGGTTTGTTTCCTTCGAGGTTGTTATAACGGCTAACTGGTCGCTTTGGTAACAATAGCTTTACAACCATCCTCAGTAAATCTCTTATTAACTAGTTTGATTAGTCAAAAACCATAAATTTCAAGCAAAAATAGGCGGATTTTATAAATATTGGGCTTCTAAAATTAACAAAACACTAAACTGTAAGTACCCGAGAATTTAAACATAAAATTTGAGAAATAATTCAGTTTTTTATGCTTTTTTAAATACTATTATTTAGTGAGTAGATGAAATAAATCGCAAATGGAAGCAAGTTTTTCTTTTATTCATTCTACATTAAATTAGATTTTACCAAACTTTTATTAAAACCAATGTGACATAATTTAGCGTAGTAATATCTTTTTGCTTAATTCTCACAAACGCAAACTTAGAAATCCCTTATTATGTGTCGGGGGCTGACAATAAAGATAAACTTGATACTGTTATTAGTTGAACGAACCACAACGAAGATAATTTTCATTTAAGGCCAATTAGACCGCTTTGCTTTCAGCTTTCAGCAAACATTAAAAACTTTCATTTTGAGATTACCACACATGACCTAAATAGGGTGCAACTTGGTTAATTAAAAGCAAAAGGACGTCCTTTAATTGATAAATAAAGAAATTGATAATTATTTAATTTCAGTATTATTGATTATTTTTTAAACGGTAATAAACAGAGATTGACCTAATTATTATAAAATTAGCCACACATGCCAGAATAAAAAAACAATCGTGCGAAAATGCAAATTTATTATTATGACGGCAATCAGTTTCGCAATTCGTCATGCTGGTCTTTAGTCTAACAAGAACCAAGGAAGCAATCAATGTACTTGTATGTACATAACTGCTACAAATTACATGTGGTGCTAACACTAAGCAATATTCTTAGAAAAAATTACTGAAATTTGAACAACATGCGGAACACTAATTTATCTAACACGAGATATATTTTTCTACATATATGAATTATTTTAAAATATAAGTTAATTGAAAAATAGCTCCCCTTATAAAATAATTATTATTAATTATAACGAAACATTTAAATTTCTCACAAAATCAAAATATCTTTTCTTAATACAGTCGTAGGTAATGACTAATGAATGAATTCTAGAGAAACAATGATTATGTAAAAACTGTCCACTTGCGTTTACAATTTCTTGAATAACTACATGATCCTCAATGATTTCCAAAGTTTCATTATCTAGTCACAAAATTTTGTGTTATGAAATTTTTGAGTACATACATTACTCACATGGTAGCTAATAAATACGTAATTGCCTGAGAGAGTATTTAATGAGACTTGTGCCGTCCTTGGATTGAAAGAAAAGCATTTTTGAAACTGTTTTGTAATTATTTAGATAAAAATGGGTTATGATTAAAACCTTCCTTCAGTTGACACAACGTGCAAATATTACGACATAATTAAATACACATGGCACTAAAGTATTTAACATGCATAAGATGTTAAATTTAATAATACTGCAATATTTCTAAAACTGAAGGCGAGAACATCTAATCACCCACGTTCCTGCTATTACTCTCCACAAATTTCTTCACTAAGGTAATAACGTTTTACAACTGACGCATGAAACGCAATAAATTTTATAAATTCAACAGACAGTAATTAACAATAAATATCGTTATAAAACAGGTCAATAAATAAATCTTATTGAAATATAGCCAAATTGAAGTACTTCGAAATGATCGAAAAATCGAAAACTAATTTATATATGATGCATTATTAGAAAAGAGAACAAACCAACTGAAATTTTTCTACAATTACAAGTAAGGTTGTTCATCCCATAAAAATCGATTCAGCAATTACAGTAAACTACATTAAATAATTACCTGTTGACTAAATCTTCCCGGAAATTGGTATTTTCGTTTCCTGGCTACTTTTGCGTAGGGGTGATTATCTATTGGATGATTCAATTGACGCTCCCTCTCTAGAGTTAAAACATTGCTATTAACAGAGTTATCTTCGTCAGGGGGTGATGGTGGAAACACTACAGGGCCTAGCCTATTTGCATCAGAAGCATCCCTTGGGTCATAACCGGCCTCATAAGGATGAGGGTTGAAATTACGAGGAGAGAGAAATATTTCGGGTTGATTTTCTTCTACACTTGTCACTGATGTCAGAAATAAACTTGCACATAAATGGTGGAGGTGCCATCGTTGCTTTGAGATCTGCAACTAAAGGACTCTCTAGTATCTGCTATTTATAATAAAACAGATAAATGCAATTTTTTTGGTTTAAAAAAATTTTGAATTTAAAACTGAATTAAATTCCCTGAAAATTTCAGATTAAACTTCTATGGATCTCTTAAGCTCCCGCTTCTCTTACGCACAGCAAACATTATTTTAAACAAATATCGGCAACCTTTGGGAATAAGAGCCTCTGGGAGACCATTACATTTGTTTTTGAAAGTATATTAACTTGTGTACAACAAACAATACTTTTCGTTTTTATAATGTATGATATCAGCTACCATCTCAAGATTTATTTTCTAATCAATTATTCAAAATAAATAATTTTCATAGGAGTATCTGGCCAACCTACACATAGGTAAGTATAAATTAAGATTGAATAAAATCACTCACATTATCTAATACATGAATAAACATCTAATTAAACTTGTCACATCATATGCAAAATAAATTATAAATGTAAATCATAAAAAGTTATCATCAATTAAAAACTTTTTCCGCAACAATATTTTGTATCTAGTTTCATGAATAAAACACGCCTTTACACAAAACATTTATGGCTAAAATGTATAAACTCCGCAACTGAAACATCTGTTTGAATCCTTGATTGCCAAAAAACCTGTAAAAATCGAATTATCTTTTTGTGCGCTATAATTCATCGGAGCTTTTTCATAAAACTGATTAAACATCATAGCTTTGTTTAAAAGTATCAACACGTTTTGGTGATTTATGACCAAAGATTTTTGTGTAAAACGAAACTGAATGAAAATTGGTTAGTTCACTTTGCCACGTGTTCATAAAAAATTACACAATTTGATAACGTGGGAAATTTTAATTATTCTTGTGTTTTGTATCATAACAATGTGACTGAAAGTCATTAACGAACGTAATAAAACGTTCAAAAACATTTATTTCGAGATTTATTTAGATTCAATGTTTCACATTATCTTAGTTTTGTCATTCACTAATGGCAAACAATAGAATGACAGTGTTTTTAACACTTTTGAAAGTGAGAAATATTTATTGCAAAACACAAAAAAACGAATAAAATTATCAAAAAAAATATTCATATCAAAATTTTTACAAAAAAAAATTAACAAATAAACATAAACGCTCAAATTATTAAATTTATCATATTCCTGATTTTAAGACTTAAGCATAACTTTCCTTTAATTTAAACTTGCTTCAAAGTTACTTCAAAGTAATTTAAGTAAGTAAGCTATAATGCAAATCTAAAATTTCTTGTTTGAAATATGTATGTATACAAATTTTTAATTTAAATGAAGTGAAATATAGAAAGTGACGGAAATAAACATAAAGAGAGTCACTTATAAAACATGTACAGTGTTCAAGTATTCCACAAATGTGTGTAGATACCTAATACTAAAAATAACTGGAATGAAAATGTATTTCTTAATTTTAATTTGTATTGTTTAAAATGTAAATTACTAAGCGAAAGTAGGTATATTTGCCAAATACGAGTTACAAAGCATTAATAAAATTAAATGCTAATTAAAAATGTACTTGGCATTAAATCTGACAAAGCCAAGACCATAAATTCTGACAAAACTGACAACCATCCTACAACTAGCAGTTACTTCTATACAGCATTATAATCTCACTCTTTTATTCATTAGGCGCATTGTGTAAACCGAGGTTAAGAAAATTTATGAATGAACATTCTTGTGTTAAATATTTATATGCAACAGCTCAAAAAATTTATAATTCATTCCAATTAATTTGTTAAAAAATAGAAAAATATTGCTTGAACAATCTTACAACAATATTAGTTTTACTTTTACTAAACTAAACAAAATATATTAAATAAACAAGAAACAGCAAAAGTTAATTAAAGAAGTTTAACAAGTATAACATGAGTTAAATTTTACTTCGTTACGGAATAAATATTGCGAGAACGGTTTGTTAAGTTCACTCAACTGCATACATGTATTTACTAATTTACACCATAAAACACATAAAAAACAGTTTTTAATTAAAACTCAAGTATTTTTAGCGTGTCCATTCACGACGATTTGGAAATAAGAGTAATATCCTTTGGAAAATATTTCACTATCGTGACGACACTGTAATTATAACATGTGCATTCAAGCCTAAAATTTTTTCGTCACGATGTATTTCAAATACCAATCTTTTTTATCTTTCTTCCAATTAATTATTTTAATACCTACTGGTCGAATCGTAGTAAAACAATGCAACAATTATACCGGGTGGGGCATCGGTTACGCGCACTTGATAAATCGCGACTTCAAATTAATTAAAACTGGCAATGTTTCATATACCTAACTAATTATTGATATGGTATAATTTGAGAATTTTTCTAATTTTTTTTTGATAATAAATGAGTCCGTAACAGTTTTGTGTGTTTAATGAATACTTTCTGTTAATTTGCACTAAATGAATCTGTACGTGTTAGCGCATCAAACTTTGATATCACAATTTCAAATTTTGACTTGGTTAGCCAAATAATCGCTTTTTTTATTTAAACACAAACCAGACCCGTGATTTATGACAAAATAGTAATATTTGCCAACAAAAGTATCATTTACTGGTAGCCGACCGCTTTAAAGGGTCTTTTTGTTGTAAACCTTGGAATCTTATCCCAATTGCTGTTCCCCATTGTCACCTAAATTTACGATGGCACAAGTAGCAGGTCATAAATAAAAATGATTTTCAAAGTTAAGATGGAAAATTGCGTTTAATTCAAAATCTAATTGGTATTTTTTTTCTAATTTTGTAAACAATTGTAGGAAGTGAATCTGCGTAGGTCAGTATAAAAATTAGAATTAAATTTTTTGGGAGAAAACTACTTTTTATTTTTTTTTTGGCTTTGTTTGTGAATGAAAAATTACCAAAAAATTAGTGAATGTACCTTCCTAATGCCCAGGTAAGTGTGAAAAAATTCAACAATTTTATTTAATTAGAAGTGGGGATTTTCTTTTTGGGCGTAACGGATGCCCCACCCGGTATAATATGTAGTTCATAAAAAAAAATATTACCCTGGCCATCCTTTCCATCATGGTTGAAATAGAAGTAATTACATTAAACAGAGCACAATTAACTTCCACAATAGTTAATTAGAAGTTTAGCGTTCGAGCTCATCAACACTGTCAACACAAGTCAAGTATCACAGGTACGCACTCACCCACAATGATTAAATAATAATTTCATGTTGAAATTAGTTTGTGAGACATGTTTAAACTCCGCTATTGTAGTGGTCCATGAAAACTAAATTACCAACTTATAATATTCCCACCACCTTCATATCTCGCATTCCTAACGAAAAGTTTCTTCGTTGGTGGTGGTGTTTGAATGATCAGTATTTTCAAAAACCGTGATTATTAGATCACTTTATTGATAATTTTCACAAAGCAAGGTTAATAAGATGCTTATCTGAAACACTCAAATACCAAAATATGTTCACATTTTACTAGTCAAATTCCAATGAATGTACGATATTTTGCAACCACCTTCACAAAAGCATGAAAATGTTTTAATGCAGACGTGTTAAATGAATTTGGGTAAAAGACATTGTTTTTATTAGTCCTTTTTTATTAACAACGCAGGTACTCGATTATTTTAAGAAAAAATGTTCGATGTGTCGTGACCTCATTTTGAATTAGGAACCAGTTGCGTTAAATAGGGCATAAAATGATTGTACAATTCATAATGATACCTTTGATGCAGTGCACGTGACTTTTTTAGGGTCTCCTACATTTATCAAATTCTTAATTTCGTAACATAGTAATAAGAAAGTGCAAGACAAGGTTCAATCTCCAGAGAAATAAGTTTCTTGAGATACTCTTAAATAGACTGGATAATAATGTTGTAACGTGGGAGTAATGAACAATTGTTGTTACATACCTTGAGAACTGTATGTGTCAGTTATGATCTACACTAAAATCGTTTCATTAGCTATTTATTAGCTCGTTTACGTTATATTATTAAGTAATAGAATTACTCATTATATAGAAATTCCAGCACGCTACTGTATAATAAAAGAAAAAAATCGACTAATTCCTAAAGAAACCATTTTTATCTGACATATAACAAACAAATCAATTTTTATTTGTTCTTTGAATTTATTTCACTTTAAGTTCTCTGGTTGTAGTCATAAAAACGCCAATTGCTTTAATTAAAATTTCATAAGAATCATTTAAAATATTTATTAAATAATAACAATTATAACAATTTAACAAAATTTGTTATGCAATGTTTCACACCTCAATTAATTTTTGTAGTAATACACATTAACAAGTGTGAAGAAGCGTCAAAAACTAAGATTAAAGTGCTACATTTAATATACTGTTCACTAATAATGTAATAATTCAGTTTTATGAGTACTTTTCAAATCTACACTTTTATGTCTCATGTGTTTAAAATTAAAGAATAAAATTTTATAAAAATGTTAAGCGGCTATAAAAATTAAACGAAATTGAAATTAGTTCTGCTAATTAAATAAACAGTTGCATCAAAAACTCAAATTAACTGAAGAAAAAACATTTATCTGGTTAAACTTTACCCAATCTCCAAAATCAAGCAATAATGCATTGTTATCTGAAACAAAAATCTGGGTTAATTAGACAATTAAGACAAAAGCGTTTTAGTAAAAATATAACGGACTATATTGTGTAACCATTGAGTAAAAATTGCAGCATATTCCTAATAAAGTGCTGAACTAGTGTGATTGCAGAGCATGAAGCAGATGATTGCATTAAAATTTGTACAGACTTTACCCAGAGAAAAAATTTTGTTTGACTAAGCCGTATAAAACATTGCTGGTCACTTGGCCAGTTTATCTTAATATTATCTTGCTTTCTTCTTGTTTGTAAAAATAGAATGGCTTACAATTTAAATTCCGGAGTAACTACAGAGTAGTAAAAGTGTATGCTAAGAGTAGATTAAAAAAAAAGTAATGAAAATAAAAAATGTTTGGAGTGTCGTTTTAGAAACTGTTGTTAATGTAGGCTTTTCTTTTCATTTTATTTCTACAGTTATATGGCTGACAAAAGAATACTTTATATTTTCACTTAAAAAATTGTGCACGAGAGTGTTACTGTTATTAATTTGCTTAACCTCTATGAAGGCATCTTGTGATTGGGATCATAGATCCCTGAAAATACCATTCTTTCATTGATTTCCTCTTGAATCACATGCATTTCTTGAAGAATTATGTAATCTACAATTTGCTAGGGCTTTTTTTAATTTCACGATTAGCTGCTATTATCTTTGAGAGATCGTGCACAAAATACCATGAGCTATAAAAAATTGAATCGAAATCTATTACTTCACAAAGCAAATCCAATATCACGTTTATATTCTTTAAAATTTACTTGTCATGTTAACTTATGGTTCCACTTACTTTCTGGACATATTGGATGAAAATAATTTTGTAGTGCAGCTTCAAACTATATTTAGTCCTATAAATTATATTGCATGTGATTCCCGGAAAAATATTGGTTTTGCTTTTATGTAAAATGGGAAAATTAGTTGAAAAGTAACATATTGTTAATATTTACACATTTGATGCTTAACATAGTTTGTTTTAGTAAGTTTGACAATTATTTCAGTGCATATGAACTGTGCTCTCTAAAAATCACAAAAAAAAAAATTCTCACAATAACTTAAAAAAAATATGCTTTTGATAAGCTTAAATCACTTATATTATATGATAATAATATACAAAGAAATGTTATGGAAATAGTTTTATTTTAAAAAAAATGTACATATGTATACATTAAGATTGGAGTAAATTGCATATCCAATCACAAACGTACCTACCTTACACAAAAGATTGAATCAAAAATTGATGTACCTACAATAAAATAGAGTTATTATCAATGTTAGAAATTAAATATTTAAAGTTTACAATGTTAATACGGAAAACTATGTCTTATTATTATGTAATCATTATGCAGCACATATCTACCTGTAAAACAGATTTTCTTGCTGAATATAGAGGGTTATACTTATGAAAACAATAATAAAAGCTCTGATTAATTCCCAATAATCACAAATTTCATGTAATAAATTAATCACAAATATTATGCAATATAAAATAAACAGTTTCCTTTTACTAGCCTTTAATATAAAAGTACTCGTTACCATTCACACAAAATAACACAGTCAGTACATTATTTCTAAAATTCATAAATATTTTATATAACCTCAGTCTCTAATAATAATAATATTGGCATTATACACAAGTGCTCTAAAAATACTTTTACTGATTGTGCAAATTCTGTGATTGTATTTGCACAAAATGTGACGGTAATGTGTGGGTAGATACTGGTATGACTTGAGAAGTGTCCAACATAAGTGACTGACACATCAACAGTGGTTCAGACATATCACTGACCACAAACTGAGTATATTGTTGTAAATGTGGAGGTAATTCGAGTTTTATTGTTTCCATTCCCTGTATTGGTAAATTTTGGACCAGTTGTATTGTCTGTTGCTGCATACTTGGGAACTGGATATTTTCTTGAATGACTGCGGGATGTTGTTCATTTTCCATGGTTTTGTCCCCTAGTTCCTCCATCAAATTCGTCGGGAACAGTTGCTGGGTGTCTTCTTTTCTGCTGTTCTCAGTCATTTGTTTCAGTTCGGTTGTTTGTGAGATGGGATTGGGATTCACCACTTTGGGAGATGCATTAAGACCCTTCTGGACCATCTCTGCCACCAACTGGGGCAACCGATCATTGGGTTGTATGATGGGTTTAGGAGGTTCAGGTTGAGGATCGCAAGTGTGGACAAAAAAGGCATAGGGTTTCGACGTATCCACTTGATGTAAATGCATAAAATTAATCTAAAAATTTAAATAAAGGTGAAGAAATATTATCAAAAATGATGCATTAGTACTTACTTTAACCACGACATTTAATCCTAATCGAATGTGTTTATTTTTTCGCCTTGTAAACGGATTATCAGTCAGCACTTTAATATCTAGAGTACCTTTACATCGCCTCGAATCAAAGAGAAGTTCTTTTTGAACCACTTTCCCGCCTTGAGTCCAACATTGATATTGTTTTCTAAACCTTATTTTCGGACCTGTGTTTGATATCTTTTTCGCCCAAACAGTATTAGTAACTTCCGAGAAGAGGTCAACCCACTCATCGCACAAAGCGTTGAAATCTTCACTATCCCGGGGGATTTGGGTGCGAAATTTTATTTCGAAAAACTTCTCTTCGGTCCATTTTGTGTCTATTATCTCATATTTTCGGTCAATACTGCTTAAAATCTCATTAAATTCGATTTTTGCTCTATCCTCGGCGGCCATTTTGGCTACTGAAAACAACAGAACATCGATCGCTGGTTTCTACAGACAACAGGCTATTTTAACCCTTGGGCACAAGGCGATAAGGTCTATTTTCGCATGATTCTGCATCGAGAAAGAAAGAATTGATGCCTTAGTTTAAACCAAGCAATAACAGCAAAGGTCGGCGTATTTGTAGGCATTCACCTTGTTTAATAGTTCAATGGTGTTTCCATTTCGTGGACTAATTATGTAATAACAAAATTATTATTTTACTTATTAAAAGAACTGGAAATTAACTAATCTAAATAATATACACTGACAACATTTTCTTTCAATATCATTTTGCTGAAACAAGAACTTAGGTAAATAGGTAATTTAATTTTTTTCTATTCCCACATCTAAAACACAGGTTATCGTATACATTTCCATGACGCTAAGTGACGTTTTATATAGGGCTGAAGTTAGCTTTCTGTCATTTTATTTAGCTAAAGACAGAATAAAGGTTTTATGTAAAGTCTGTTTTTTTTTTTTTAAATGGAAATTACCAAGTCAAAATTTTGGTGAAAAAATTGGTAACAGCTTGTCTCCATAGCCACAAATTTTGTTTGCTCTTTGTTTTTGTCCCTAGAAATTTTGTTAAAAAATTATGGTTATGTGTTCCAATTGAGATGTTGTAAAAATTTTGACTTTTATGAATTTGTGTGTCTGTTTCCTCTTTGAAAGCGCTATAATTGAATACTTGAGGACAGACATCATTACCTAAGGTCTAAAAAAAGAATTCAGTGCTAATAGTTCTGACAGAAACACACCGCAAGTAAGTACAATGTTGTGGACAAAAGTGAGATTCTTGCTACAAAAACTTTGAAGAAAAAGGATGTATTTACAGAAAACAGTTATTTAGCAAAAGATACAAGTAGGTATTATGATGATTGGCAATAAATTTTGTGTAATTTATTGAAATTCTTCGTCAGCTTTAGTTTCAAAATTATTACTTTTTCAACTCATTCCTCAAAAAACGATGCACAAGACACTAATTTAATTGCGTTCTTTCCGAGGTTCTTTCTCATTCATGTTTATTTTGTATTCTTGTCGATTTCTTGCTAAAAATTAAGAATATTTAGCAAACCTGCATTACAAATTGCGTCTACATTTTAACGGACCCTTTTTCTAACTTCCTGTTTGCGAACTATTCGTTTCCAAATTTCGAAAAACTGGTAGTGTACCGAATTTGTTTCTTTTTTGGTGTTTCGACTCTAAATTTTCTTAGACGATTTTTTGTGTTGACGTTTAATAACATTGTTTTCAAATTAATTCAAAAAACCGGAACTGCCAACTTCCTTTATTAAAATTACCATTAATGAATTTACTAGTAATGCCAACGTTAAGACTGTTTGGCATTTCCATAAAAAAAAACAGACTTTAGATTATTTTTTGCATTTCAAAATATGGAGTAATTTGAGGAAAAGAAACATTAAAAGGGTACATAACTAATGGAATTTCAAAATCAAGTAGATAACAATTTTTTTCTTCTTTCTTTTTAATAATTTAAGATTTTTTTCAAATTAAAAAATATTTTGTAGAACCTAAATACAGTAAACAAATTAATTTGTTTTCATACTTAAACTTGTTTGTTAATGAACCCTTTATAGATAGGGGTAATGCTCATTTCGTATTTGACAAAAATTGAAATCTTTTTGATCTTTTTTTGGTATACATATTCAGGTAATAGTGAAAATTATGTTCAAAGACCTGAATTTCCTATTTGCTGATTTCGTAACATTCGTATCATTCATGTTTCATGTAACATCTCAAACGTCACACATTGGAGGTTAGTGAGGTTACGTAAAATGTGAGGTTATAGAACTTGTTTTGTAATAGATAATTTCAATGAAAATTATTAACTTCATAAAAAATATAGTTATTGGAGTGCCCATTGGTGTTACAATTCTTGATACTGTCGGTTATGTAGCTCGTGTGGATGGAATTTCCATGCAACCCGCTCTGAATCCTTACCAAAACACAACAGATTATGTTTTTTTGAATAGATGGTCAGTAAAATCCTACGATATAAAAAGAGGCGATATAATATCACTGATCTCCCCCAAAGATCCTACACAAAAAATCATAAAACGAGTAGTGGGAATTCAAGGTTTTTATTTAACACTTTTATGTAACATTTCTTGTTTCACGAAAAAATGATTTTCTAGGTGACGTAGTGGCAACACTCAGTTATAAATCAACAGTTGTTAAAATCCCCGAAGGACATTGCTGGGTGGAAGGTGACCATACAGGTCACTCCATGGATTCAAATAATTTTGGCCCAGTCTCTCTTGGTTTAGTTACAGCAAAAGCCTCCTGTATCGTATGGCCACCATCAAGGTGGCAGTTTATACCGTCCTTCTTGCCTGATTCACGTGTACCTCTTAATCTCTCTTCCAAGTCGTTGTTATAGTTTTAAGTACAAAATGCGTGCTATTTCTTTAGTTAATCGTTTAGAGTTCCAATTTATGGGTAATGTTGCTAGAAATGCTGTTACTTTAGGAGATATAGACAATGATGGGTGTAATGAATTAATTATTGGTAACAACAAAGGGGAAGTCGCTGTTTTTAAGGTTTGATTAAAGTGGTGCCCACTTTATGTCTAATTTTTTTGTGTAGGGAAAAGAACGAATCAAAAAAATAACTGATCTTTCATTTGTTAGTTGTGTGGCTGTTGGCGACATTTTCAATAAACAAAAGAATAGTCTGGTTATTGTAACAGCTGATGGTTGGTGTTACATTTATGAAGTTCCCGATAATGGTATAAATGTTAGTGAAGAAGTTGAAAAAACTGATGAAGATATAAGCCAGGCTAGTCGAGCTAATTAAAAAATAACAAACAAGTTTATGTTTTTTTATTTAGGTTGATGGGCAAGTACAATCAGGGGAGACCTTAGAATATAGCACTGAGTCAAATAGGAGTCAAGGTGACAAAGAAGAAAAACCACAATTGGTTTGTGTCCATATTCAGAGAATTCCTGCAAATGCCAAGGTATACCTGTGAAAAATCTTCAGATAATTATTAAACAATATTCCGACTGACTTAATTAATTAAATTTGTTCTTAATTTTTCAAGAACATTGTTCTGGGTGACATTGACAACGATGGAATGATAGAAATGATTTTGGGCCTTACCGACAGAGTTGTCCGTTCTTATAGATGGGTTAATGAGCCCTTCAAACCGTCTTATGACACAGCTCACAATCTTGGTTAGAAAATCGAAATTGCGGTCATTATTATTATTTGTTTCACATTTCAGAAAATGTACAATATTTTGGCAAACTAATTGCTTTAAACAAATGGGAATGTGCAAACCAAATCGGTTCAATCACACTCCACCACACCAGCGACGGAAAACCCTCTTTATTAATTGCTCAACCAGGCGGCACGTTTATGAGAATTCGTTGCCAGCCCGATGACAGTGGCCAAGCTCAAGAAAATCTGGAATTAAGTGGTTCAAGTAGGTCAGTTAAGTTCAATTATTTGAGTTTTCGTGTGTTAAATTATTTTAATCGTAGCGATACTATGCCCGGCTCTGCCATAGACTACCAGTTCCTAGGAATTTCAAGAATGAGGAATCAAAACATATCAACAGAAATTTTGGGTGATTTCCAATCGAGAAATTTGGAAAGTCAGAATGAAGATGCGAAAAAATGTCCTTATGCTGTTGCTACTTTGGATGGGACGATAATGCTGGTTCAAGATGAAGTCATCCTTTGGTATGTTTCGTGTTGGTTTTAAAACAGTTGAGCAAATGTCGCATTTAGGGCCATTGCTGTTGATCACCAGATTTTTGCATTGTGTAAACTTGATGTCACTGGTAATGGCATGGACGATATCGTCGTATGTTCGTGGGATGGCCAAACTTATATTCTTGATCAAGAGAAAAATTGTGTTAGATTTCATCTTGACGAACCTGTTCAAGCGTTTCATTGTGGACACTATAATCTGACAATCAATGATGATCCCGTAACTTGCCTAGTCTACATCACCTTTAAGAATACTGTACGAATTGAAATTGATGTAGGAAGTTTTGGTTTATATTTTAGTGTTTCAGGTAATTATTTACTATGATATACCGCTCAAAGAACTGAAGTGCAAAAAATACGAGCCTTCGCTAGATTTATTGCGTGAATTGTACATGAAAGACGGAAGAACTGAGGAAGAGGCACAGGAGATGGTTAAAAACTTAGACAAGAAAAAGAAGAATCAACTAATACATCGTCTGTTATACAACGTGAAGAAATCATAATTGTTATTTTATTGGAAGTATACAAATATGTATTTAAATAGAAATAAACTTTTTACAGGAAACATTAAGTCTAATCTGTGTTTTTTCGTTTACTTAATTTAGGCCCTTAAATTAATTTCCTAACGATCACTGAACATTAGACAGATATCTTTCAAACTAATCTAAAGATATGTACATGGAATTATATAAAAATTATCAAATGATATTTCGATGAAATACATTCCAACTGCCCATTTGGCACAATTATTTGACTAGTAAATATTAGAGCATTTCTTATTTAAGTATGATAAATTCGTAAAATTTATTGTATTGGTCAAAACTATACATCTACTTGTACACTAATAATGTACAGAATGGTTTCCATCTAGGTAATTATATACATAATTAGTGATATGAAATGTCATGTGTTGATTTTTAAGTTATTGCACATTAGTAGGTATCATAGAATCAAAAGCGAATATTCAGAGAGGCAATGTTATAAAAATATTTCCTATTGCAATTTTGATAAATGCAGAACAAAAGTGAATATTTTTGTACATAAGTAAACGTTATTCATTAAATGTTCTGATTGATGTTAAAATTTTAACATTCAGTAAGTTATTAAAACTTGACTAAAAATTGGAATTCTATTTACTTCTTCCGGCTGTTTCTTTTCATTTCCGCTCCCATCCTGAATTGTAGAACCAAGAGGATTCATCCCGGGATTTTCCCCAACTAGTTTCCAAGCCATTCTCCTGAAACAATTTTACTGAAATTACCAGAATCGCTTGGCAATTAAATTAAGCTACCCCAAACTGCGAGTGGCTCATTGTCGACGAACTCAGATAATCCATATTAGAATAATAAGGGTAATTGTTATAGCAGTTTGTAGTTGAGTTAGTAGTGCTCAAAACCGGTTGTGAAGACGAGCACCAAGACCGGTGTTGCTCCAAAGTAAAACTATCTATTGACGCCGGCGACCAAATGCTCGAATTTGCAGAATTTGTATAAGTTGCCGATGCAATCTGAAATTAGTCTCATTATTTTGAAACTGTTGGGAATCCCTGGTTTACTACCGTTGGTGAGCTGGTGCTTCCTGTAGATACATGGAGTTGGGGCTTGATATAGTTTGGACTGTCTCTAAGGTGTGGCGCTGCCGTGACGCTCGGTGAGCTTGCTGAAGAACTAAAAATATTGATGAAGAGAAAGAAAAAGAGTTTCGTTATTTTACCTCGTACTAGTGTTGTTGTTTATAGAAACTGGTGTTGGTGATGTTTTTGTCAGAATTGTAGCACTTTTGTTCTTTAGTTTCGAGCTTTTTTCGACGCTTTGTTGCTGGTTATGCTGCTTTTGCTGTTGGCGACACTTTGCTCGACGATTTTTAAACCACACCTGCATTCAAATATTGTTAATAATGTAGATAACTTATAACAAATCATCTGATTGACTTTTAGTCGATTACAACTGCAACATACCCTCGCAAATCCCTGTTTTCTTTTTAGGAATTTTTTTCATTATTATTCTTTACTATGTTATACCTATTTATAAACTTTACTTAGTTTAAGTATTCTAAAATTAAACACAAACAAAATTTTCTCTTCAATTGAAATTCTAATTTATGGTGTAGCTCAAAAATTTACCAATTTTCAAATACCTGAAATTATGTGACACTTTTTATTTGGTAGATGTTATTTGCTTGTGTATAAAGCAATGGTTTCTTGAATTCCAAATTTTTTATTATAATTTTTAAATTTAGAAGTTTTACAAAACTTAGGATTAGCGGAAAAATGAAAGTAGCCATTTTTTTTTAATTAAAATAGTCAATTGAAAAACCAAAATTGAAAGCAAAAACAAAAAGAGTGATCTTTCTACGTATTATTTATTTATAGACGTAAGAGAAAAATGTTATCAAAAATATATATACTTAGTAATCCTTTCAAAGACCTTTATATTCGCAAATGTCATTATTTTACAAAGAAGCTGCAAGTTGAAGCATAGAAACAAATTATTGTTGCCTTTTCGCTCCTATTTAATATGGACTTGAAAGCACAATAGTACCTACTAAGTAAGGAAATGCAACTGAATGTGATACCAAAGCTTGTGCTTTATCTATCTGAAAATCAATAAACTTCGTGTCACATTGTTACAAAAGGAATCCTCACAAATACAGCAAACGAGAACAGAATTTCTGTTCAATACAGATAAAGGTTTCTCTCCTCGATCTGTTGACAATAATTCAATCGTTGCAATGTCACTATTTGACCATTTACATCAAAGAAATAACAAACACTCACACCAATGGCACAGCGAGGAGAGGTTTTTGGAGTTAAAACTCCCCTTAGAACAAAATCAGGCAAAATTGTTTTGTAGTGGTAATAAAACTAAAATTATATTTTAGAAACCACCAAATTAAACATTCGAATTTTGTACACAATGATCTTCGATGTTGTCATAACTTCAGAAGATTCACAAATTTTTACTTTTTTATTTTGTAAATTGCGGCAAAACTGTATCTTAAACGTTGTTGTCATAACTTCAAATTTTTACTTTTTTATTTTGTAAATTGCGGCAAAACTGTACCTTAAACGTTACAATGTTTTTATGCATAAATATGTAGAAGTACGTTTTTGCTACATTTTTATCATCACTGACGGTGCATACTGTGAGAAATTGTTGTAGATCAACGTGTTTCATCGAAACTAAGAAATTTGAGCTATTTTCAAGCAACTCGAGTATCGCATACCTACGTCAAATGACAAAAATATCATACAAAATGAAAAAAAAATATACAAAATTATCTGGCAAATAAATACATACCTATAATAATAAATTTAATTTAAAAATCTCTCAACAGAAAAAAATATGTAAAAAACACGCGTTACAACCTCTCATTGTGATACTCGAATAAGTGCCCGAAATTTTTTACATAGGCAAAGCCCCTTGGCTGCTCTACTGACTCACACTGTTTAAACTAATTAATATTATAATATTAAAATTAGTTTACTGTTAAACAATACAGTTATTATAATGTAATCATCAAGACTACACAAGGATGCAGAAAGTGAACTTTTACAATTTTTATCTCGTTGGTTACCGAAAGTGATCTTGAACGTGTGCCAACAATAAAATCGTTAACCGACATGACAATCGCAAAACGCAGGGGCACAACGAAATGCACAATGCGGAGTCATAATAAATCACTAAGGAGCACATTAGAAAGCGATCCATTTGAGAATGAATGGTAACGATTGTTGAGACCAGTCGTTAACTTATTAGCTATAGAGTGTAATGCATAAGCACGCCTCGCCCACGGCTATTGTTCCTTTAGGAAGGGAACCCCAGTTTGGACCCGAGGCGACAAATTGCTCTCCCGTGTGTTTGTTTCTTTATGGATGACAATCTTCTGCGCGCCATTTGTCATTTATACCTTCTCAATTACAGTAATTTGTTGTGCAATAACACCGTTTTGGTGTCCTAAAGCCGCCGGAGGCTTTTTAGGGCAAGCCGTATCACTAACCGGTAATTTATTAGAGGACTATTAAATTAAAAGGAATGAAGGATACGTATGTAATAGTTAGTTTCATATTATGTATAGTTAATGTAATAATTAAGGCACATTGTACTATATCTATCATATATTTTTTACTCATACTGGTATAGGAACATTCAAGAAATTTAAAGATAAAAATTTAAAATTACCAATATTTTAATGAGTTAATAAATTAATTAATAAAAGGAATTTTTAAATATTAAACCGATGTATACTCTGTGTATGTTGTACCTCTGTGTGGACAATTCCCAATGTTGCTGATAAAGAATATAAAAAATGATAAAACATGAAAAATGTAGCGATTTTCCAAATTTAAAAAAATCATGGAAAAAATAAAGAAAAACCAGCATGAAATACAATTTTGTATAAACATACCTATTGAGTTATTTATTCGCAATATATTTTTTAAATTAGAAAAAAGTAGAAGTTATGGAATTTTTTTGATGAATCTCCAGACGTTACAGTCTTTTTTTAGTAATTCATTTTATTTTCTACGCAATAATTGGTGTAAAGAAAAATAACTTTTTACAAGTCTTACTAAACAACCACGTTTTAACTTTTCGAAAAAACAAATTATTTATTTATGTACTCTTTTTGTAATGAGCAAAACGAGGAGCAAAATATTTTACTGTATTTAAAATACAACTTTTTTGCAGCAGTTAAACTTATAAATGTGCTGTTTTGTAACAGCCATATATGTCATGCATTCGAAGGGTTAATTAGATCAAATTTGAAAAAATAAGTTAAAATTCAAAAGTTTTTAATTATATTTTTGAAAGACGACTGATACCTATCATCATAAAAACAATATAGGTATAGTTGAATCCTGGGGAAACAAGCTTTTTGTTTACTTTAAAGCCCCTAATTTAAATTTTTCAATTTTGCAGTGTTGGAGATGGTGACAAAGATTGTTTTATCAAGTTGAGATCCTTTAAGAATTTTTTCTTAAGTATACAAAAAGTTGTATACATCAAATTGATAATTTATATTTTTAAATCAAAAACAAAAAAATAAGATAACTATTTTTTGTTATTCTTTTATTTTATTTCTAGTTTTTCAATGTTACACAATTTGTATTTTGTAGAAAAGTTTTATTAAATTATATAAAGTCTGTTTTTTTTTTAAATGGAAATGCCAAACACTCTTAACGTTGGCATCACTAGTAAATTCATTCATGGTAATTTTAATAAAGGAAGTTGGCAGTTCCTGTTTTTTGAATTAATTTGAAAACAATGTCATTAAACGTCAACACAAAAAATCGTCTAGGAAAATTTAGAGACGAAACACCAAAAAAGTAACAAATTCGATACACTAACAGTTTTTCATAATTTGGAAACGAATAGTTCGCAAGCAAGAAGTTGGAAAAAAGGCCCGTTAAAATGTAGATGCAATTTGTAATGCAGGTTTGCTAAACATTCTTAATTTTTAGCAAAAAAATTGACAAGAATAGAAAATAAACATGAATGAAAAAGAACCTCGGAAAGAACGCAATTAAATTAGTGTCTTGTGCATCGTTTTTGAGGAACGAGTTGAAAAAGTAACAATTTTGAGACTAAAGCTGAAGAAGAATTTATAAAATACATCAAATTTGAGCTCATTTCAATAAATTACACAAAATTTATTGCCAATCATCATAATACCCACTTGTATCTTTTGCTAAGTAACTTTTTTCTGTATATACATCCTTTTTCTTCAAAGTTTTTGTAGCGAGAATCTCATTTTTGTCCACAACATTGTACTTTCTTGCGGTGTGTTTTTGTCAAAATTATTAGCACTGATTTCTGTCTTTAGACCTTAGGTAATGATGTCTGTCCTCAGGTATTTAATTATAGCGCTTTCAAAGGGCAAACCGGCACACAAGATTCATAAAAGTCAAAATTTTGACAACATCTCAATTTGAACACATAACCATAATTTTTTAACAAAATTTCTAGGGACAAAAACAAAGAGCAAACAAAATTTGTGGCTATGGAGACAAGCTGCTACCAATTTTTTCACCAAAATTTTGACTTGGTAATTTTCATTTAAAAAAAAAACAGACTTTACATAGGTATTATTAAATTCAGTATTGCTAACTGAATTCATTATTATTAATACTTTGTATACTTACGTTTTTACAAATTTATGTTTTATTAGTATTGACCAATTATTATAGTTTTATCATTGTTAGTTTACACCAACCTTATAACTGAAAATTACTTTTTGTAATGTAAAATTTATTACAATAAAATGTGATTCTTCACATTGCTGGGTACTTTTAATTTAAACACGAATTTATTATACCTTAGAGATAATTTAATGAGACTATCTAAACTCTAAAATACCTGTATACTTATTTACCTACAAAATTATTCAAGTGTAAAAGACCAAAAATTTTGTATTTTAAAATATCTATAGGTAAAAAGTAGGTATAAATTGGCTAATCAAATAAATAACTGGATGTGCTGTTTAGTGCGATTAGTTTGTCATTTCAAATAACGTTAATGTGATTTCTAAGAAGTCTGCAGTAAAATAGATCCTCTGATATAAATTTCAACCTCTCGAAATGTTTTCGTTTGAATCTTCTATACACGACAAAATACCTGTCCATTTAACAGCGAGAGCAAAAAAAAATTAATTACCTGAACTCTGGATTCTGGCAGATTAATTTTGAGTGCGACTTCTTCTCTCATAAAAATGTCAGGATATCGCGTCTTTCCGAAGAGGGCCTCCAGGACGTCGAGTTGAGCCCTGGTGAAGGTCGTTCTCTCCCGACGCTGTTTTCGTTGATTACCTGCGCAAACACATGAATCAGGATTATCACCTCTAATCCTTCGCACTTATTAAAATGGCTCAAAAAGATATAAAACAACCAGTCTTTGTAGACAATCGAAGAGCATTTTTATTCATCAAAAAAGTGCTCCACGTCAGATTTGCTAAATTATTTTAAAATATGGATTTGTGGTGTGCGGAAAATTCTGTATAAGCCTGTAAACTAATGATTAACGCTAAAACAAAATCAAAAGCATTGTGACTATAATAAAATGTCTAATTTAATAAATACAAAATTGGTGATACATTAATGTATAGTGGTCGATGTGTATGTTCTAAATAAAAGGGCATTTTGGTTCTGATTTGGTTGCAATAAATTTAAATAATTTATTTAAAATAACATATCTACTCATAAAACGCATATATTTTCAGATTCCAAATATCATTTAGGCATTCAAACAGATTTTAAGGATTTATCATATTTATTTGCAAATAATCACAAATAAAATGATTTTGTTTTATATTGAATCTCTTTATTTTGTTTGTCTACCTTTATGAATACACACATTTTACATTACTAATTCACTCAATACCGCAGAATTAAACAAATACCAACAAATATGCATATTTTACATATTTTATTATTTTAGCTTTTTTGATTTAAATTATTTATCTGTATAAAAATTTATTTACAATATTTTAGTAAAAATTGAAATAAAAATTTACATTTTACAACATTCAACGTTATGCATCAGACAAAAATAATTTTTAATATAATTGTTTGTAATGTAATTTACCTGCTGGGTATCCAGCCATGGACGAATGGAGAGAATCTACTGGAAGTCCATGCAAGCCTAAACCTGGCACGGGGTAAGGGGCCGACTTTAAATAAGCCATACTTGAGGAACTTCCGCCGCAAGTGCTTCCAAAACCCGGAAATAATTCGCTGTCGGGATTGCATCTGCAAGATGAATGAAACTGTTACGTACCTATTATTTAAGCAATCATTTGGACAAAAAGTAAATAATGTGGTTGATTCTTTTTCTGGTTTTGAAAGAAAGGGCTAAGTATTTGCTCAGGAGTGTCATATTCTCTTGTAACAAAAGAAAAAGGATTCAACAGTTCGCAGACAGCATGGTGCCAGAAAATCCCAGAACGCAAGAATTGGTCACTAATGTAGAAAATACTGTTATTATCTGGGGCTTAAGTCGGCATCATACAAACATCTTATAAAAACTTTCTTAAATGTTTGTCTCGTTGGTCAATACACCTTCTCTAAAACGCTTCAAATACTCTTCTGGGCGATTAACTCAAAAAATTGGGTTTCATTCACGAGCGATGTTCCCGTAATTGTCATTAAATCGTACAAAGGAGTCAAGATGACACAAGATACAGCTTTGTGCGGTGTTTTCCAGTTTGCTGATAGGTGAATGGGGTAATATCTATTACTCCCTTATGCCAATTAGAGCCGCTGCCGTTTTATGCGATTTAAATCTAGCCCGAAGTTTTTGATGTCGGAATCTACCCTCTGTGCCTTATTAGGGGTAAACAGAGGGTGGCAATTGAGTTAGGCACGACATGATCACTCTTGATAACGTTAATGATGGACCATTAGCCAGATTGCTGCCTAAAGAGTGGACGTCAATTACTTTGATGCCGTTCAATTTATTTCTTAATTAATCGTCAACTTAAAAAAAAGACAAGCTGCCAGATAAGCAATTTCATTTCATCTTTTTGTGTGGCGCGCATGATTGCCATTTATTTTCCTGCATAATTTATCCCTGAGACGTCCATACGTTAAACCACTTACCTCTCAAGTGTTTATTGTATATTTATGAATAGAAAGGGTATAATTTTGAAATTCTCACCAGAGCCCTGTGTAAACTGTACCTACTCATCGACAGGGTAGAGAAAACATTGCGCTCCCTAGACGTAAGTTGTTTAAAATGTATTTTAATCTGTTTTAATCTGGCAAGGCATGACGTTTCTTTTGTATTTTAGGATTATGTCGTCGCTAACGCCTCTTCTTGGGTCAAGGTGTCAAAGAAACCTGACGCTTGTATCAAGGACAATAAAGTCCATCTTGTTGGAAGTTGTAATCGAACACCCGAATTTTTGATGACAACTTTTTTAGATTCTTAAGCCTCATTTATATCTTATCTGAGATTGACAAGTTCTCTTTAGTGATTTTTCTACATTTAGGGGATGCTAAGCGGGTTATTAGAGATTTTAAGACGTGGTTCTTTCAACGATGCTTCACTTTATGGAAATAAGTAAAAAACATAAAAAAATTCAATAATCTCTATCAAGATTTGTGGTAAAATTTTTGAAATAAAGAAAGCGTATGTGAATTTATTTTTTACAACAGGTAAAATGAAATGAAAATATCAAGTCCGACATTTGTTTAAATTTATGAAATAATTGTTAAATAAAAAAAACGTAGGTAATATATTGAAAACATCTTTAAAATTTAAAAGTAATTAATCAACTATTGAGAGTTTTGATTTTTTTTTAACTTGTTGTCTTTATCTTTGGTAAGCAATTTTAATGGTAACTAAAAAAAATAATAGGAGGGACCGAGGGAGGGACTGTTTGTGTATAAGGAAGTTTACACTTATTTTTACTAACCTGAGATGATTATAAGATGTAAAACAATAGTACTACATACAGAGACATTTTTTCAATTCTGAACATCAGCTCTATATGCTCAATTTAAAAAAAGCAAAATTCATTGCTGCCATTCAATGATAGTGTCAGTGGCGTGTCTACGATTTAAGAGCAACAAAATAAAAAATTGCTTTATTTAAATGAGGATGATGACAAGACAAACAGAAAAATTACAGACAGATAGGACATTAAATGTCTTACAGTAAGAAAAAAAGTTATAGCAAAAATTTTCTTGGAATTGAGAAATTGATTGAAATAAAGCAATTTTTTATTTTGTTGCTCCTAAATTGTAGACACGATACTATACAGAGACTATCATTAAATGAGAGCAATATACATTGATCTGTGCTTTTTTAAATTAAACATAGAGGACTGCTATAATTGAAAAATGTTTCTGTGTACTACATACTACAATAATAATAATACATTTGATTAAATTTTTGAATAAAAAAATGTGTAGTTTTGACGCACAATTTTTTAAACACTTTATTACTGTAATTTAAAACATTAAGATCAACATTTCTTATAAAAGATGGCATCGTAAAGCGGTTTTAAGATCCAAAATCTATTTTTTCTACGGGTTATAATCTTTTGCTGACAAATGAAACAAGATGTAAAAGTATTTTGATTTTTGTTGTCAAATTGTTATGTGTAAAGCTCACACTTTAGTGTTGCTAATACATTTTTTCATCAAAATCATTTATACTCGTGGTCACACGGTAGATAACTGTGCTATTTTTTTGTTAGTGGGATTATACTATAATACGTAATGGCAAACCTCACCACAATCGCTCTAAGTTAACAATCAAATGTTCCCTTAATTTGTTGCCAAAATAGTTATCGTTCCAAAAGTTGAACAAACGCTCTGCTTAAGCGCCTCATTATTCAATAACGATCACTCCATTTAATCTACCGGTGATCATTAGAGGAATAAAAACATGCACGTGTTCACCTATGGCTCAGTTTGAACACAAATACATAATACATTGATCGAATATGTTCCCTCTAAATGATGGAATCATCTTTTGCAACTATGACGACGAGCATTTACACCAACTGACTGCAATTTACCGATAGACAAAAATGCAAATCCTCTTTCCTCTATAATTGTTTAGATAGGGGAGATAAAAGCCTACACTGGGCCGTAAATTTGTATTACGTGTGTTATAAAGTAAGTTTGGCACTTTTAGAATGTATCTTATTTATTCCAGAGTGACATGTCAGTCGTTAAATTAATAAAATCCCTGTGTAAAAATGCGTTGCGTGAATTGGGGTCAGACAAACAGCCTTTTACGGTTGTTATCTCAAGATTCCAGTAGCAGTGTAGCCGTGATGGCCATCGAGAGCCCGAGTGCAAACCCAGATAAGAGCTGAAGTGGCTGTGAAGAGGGGTTCGTCCCTTCAATCAACCCTACAACTAGACAACTCTATTAGAGAAGCACACGACTTTATGTTTATTGTTTTACAGTGGGAAATTTACACCTCGTGCTGTTCTTAAAGTGTGTTATTTAATTATTGAAGGGCGAGTGCATGCCCTCCTAGTGGCATCTGATCAGGAGACGCAAGAAAAATTATGCTTTAAAAATTGACTCAGATTCTGTTAATTAAAAAATACAATAAATAAAATATTGGTTTATTGTAATGAATTTTTGTTATACTTACAACAGAACATGAAAATGATATAAACCAGCGTTTTCAAAACTATGCATGCTTCGTGGTTCGCAGAATAAAATTGCCGGTTTTCAGAAAGTATATAAAGTGTTTACATTTACATTACAATGTGCGAGTTATTGAGTTTAATGCAGTGTATTTATTTATTAAATCATTTATCAAACATTAATATTTACCTATACTTAGCTTTAAATTATATCACAATATACCTTGTATATAAAAGAAGGAAAAAAAAACTTACCCAGCAGTGAGGCTGTTTGACCACATCTACTTTGGTCCCTGAAACAAATTAACAATGAATAATTACATTACCTGTAAAAAGTTTTTAGATCAAATAAATAAGTCAACAAAAAGTTTAAAAATTTTTGCAGATAATTTATTTTTCTTTTTTTCAGGTGATTAAAGGCAAAGAAAGACTAATGTCGTACGGTATTTTAAAGTTCTAGACTCAGTTTTTAAAGAATAAAAGGCAGTAATCCGCGCTCTAAAACTTTTTATTGAAATTTTTGTAGGTTCCTAAATGAAATTATCTACCTATAGGCACTTACGATAACTACTAAATCCTACTTAATTTACTTAGGGAACAAAGCGTTTGATCGACATAAATAACATCTTTCCGTCGATATTGTGGCAGAGTCGTGTTGCATTTCTTCTCTTTTTGCACTTCCACTTTATCGAGCAATGAGTCAAAGCACACTTGATGTTTACACAGAAACTTCATAACGCTCACTTGATTTTACAAAAACGTTTTTAAACATCTGTAAGTTGAATTAAAGGGAGAGGAACGAACGCATTGAAACGTACAAGAATGAGACGGTATTTATTTTGTGTTTTGTGCAATGTCGATCAGATATTAGTACGGATATTGGTTTTGAAGTTTACATTCCTTTTAATGAGTCTTGTATGGGAAGTTTATTCAACTGTGAGTAATATTGCTCTTGATTCTTTTACAAAAAGCTTCTCAAAGTTGCCGCTGACAAAAGTTAAGAAGGATGTTCTATTCAAAAGTTTAACAAGTTTGGCCAATTTTCTAATTTTCGAATATTACACTTTCATATGGAGGATTTGAAGTTTCGGAAACCGTTATTACATATTTCTCTATAAAAAGGCCAAAGCTGAAGTATCTGTTATTAAATCACCCGCTGGCAATTGGGGGTGCTTATTTCAAAACTTAATATCCACAAATCCTTTATACTCATGTGGTTTTCCAAGTGCTATGTTCACTTTGGGTGCTGCTATTAAATTTTCAATGAACATACGCACAAGTACGTTCTTATTACATTTGCCACGTAAGATTCAAATTTCAATTGAAATGTACCTAATATACAGTTATCTATTTGCTAAACGCTCTGAAACACAAATCGAGTCTTAGTAAAGTAATGTCAGTTCTAAAAAAATGTATATTGTATCATTTACACAAACTCTCAACTCGAGGTATTCAAAGTGCATTGCTGGCTTTTATTCTTTATTAGTAAGATCGTGTACAATGAGGATTTTATTTCGCTGAACATCAACATTATTAACTCCTCGAGTTCTCGAATGCATTACAAGCAATTACAACATATCCAAGCCAATCTAGCGACAATGTTTGCGACACAAATATTCAAAAACTGAACATGGAAACGTATGTCAGCAAAATCAAATTCTCACTATACCATCCTTTCTTCATATGAGTGAGTGTACGTGGATTAATAATTACAAATAGCTAATTATAAAATAATAGTAAGTATATTAAAAACAAGTGTTACAAACACTGCTCTTACATTGTGTTACAATGCACGAGTATCACAAATGAAAGGTTGTAACACGTGTTTTTATATTTTTTTCATTGAGCGCTTTTTAAATTGAATTCAGTACTATATTCACAGTTAAAATTAGTAATATTTGAGATATGCGGTACCCAAATCGCTTGAAAATAGCTTAAATTGCATTAGTTTCGGTGAAATACGTTGATCTACAACCATTTCTCACTTAAAAACGACAGTTTGCAGCCAGTGATGGCAAAAGTATTGCATTACATGTTGTCAAAAACAGTGTGCAACTGAAAACGGTTGCAAAAAATGCTTATTGTGACACTAAAATTGAAAAAAATGTGTAAACGGTTTTAACATTGTGTTTTTTCTTTTTTGATAGTTATGAGTAAAATGCTTTTAAAATGTCTTTTTTATCTTTAATAATACTGGTACCTAAGTATAATATTTTTGCTTAGAAAAAAAATAAATAAAAATGGAACAAATTTTGTAGCGAACAATTGATTAAAGAGGTATGAAACATTTAGTTTTTAGTTGGTCATCTCCGTATTTGGAGTTTAAATAATTAATAAATAATAATAAAATTAACAATGCTTCCTTCACCCAAACTTTTTTAGTTTTTAATGTCAGATCAGTTGTATTTTTTGGGAGACTTTACGTCCTATGAATTTGAAAAGATACTTGTTTCAGAAAGACTTTTAGTCTTTTAGATTTTAGTTGAAATAAATGCTTATTACGTCCGGAATAAAAAATTATTGCATAGTTTGCTGTAAGAACTCAAGGCTTGTATTTATTCAATAGTTTAGCTTAAAACTTCTGTTTTATGAGAAAATAGATCACTGACTAAACAAAATATAAGAGATAACTCGGAAAATAAAATATCTACTATAAAAATTGAAATTTTTATTTGTACAACTAGTTTTGAAAGTCATACTTTTTTTCACGAATTTGCAGTTGATTAACTGAGTTAATCAAACAAATGCATTTTTTTGCATAGTAATAACCCCAAAAGAATCTCAAAGACCAAAAAGATATCAATTTGATAAATCAAATCGTAATGTATCGCGAGCTCTTTCTAACGAACTCTATAGAAACTATAGAAATAACTATAGAAATATAACTATAAGTAGAAATCGTTTAAAAAGTATAACTTTCTATACGATTAATCGTGATGAAAATTCAACTTTCATAATCACTATGCAAAAAACTATTTATTATCACTTTTGCTGAGAGCTTTATTTTTTTAATAGGTAACATACCAACTTATCATAGAAATTTACCTATATGGTAAGTAAATTATAACAACCCATTTCCAATTATTAAAAAATACTCTTATTTATTTAAAGCAAAAACTTTCTCAATTATTTCTTATGTTATTTTATTACACAAATAAATTTTGTTAGTTACCTTTCGATTCAGGCTTTTAATCAAACAATGTTTTTATAATTACTTGAAATTTCTAAAAATATAAACTGTTTGCTACTTGCACTTCAACGTAACTACTAGTAATTTTGTTAAAAGCGTAATAATAATTTAAAGGTGATAAAAATTATAATATGTACTCCTAACTTGGTGCAGTTATTTAAATGTAATATTTGCTCAAAGTATATTTATTCCGTTGATTTATTTAAACACTCTCTTGTTTTCAACCCACCACGAATCTTCGGATACGTTTTTCAGTTGAAGTGGTGAACTCCCAATTTGGGATTTTAAAAGCTTGCGTAGGTAAAATCTCTTGCCAAGATCTTATCGGTGTCAGAACATTTGTGCAAATCCGGGGAACGTCGCAAGTTTACACCAATTTCACGGTGGTTTGAATTTGGAAGCCCAGTCAACTGGAAGTCTTTCTAAAGACCATATAATGACCAAGGTGCTTTTTCAACTTTTTTTTTTAAATTGCAAGTTCTAGACCGAAATGAGTTGAAGTGTAAAAAATGCAAAACTACTCACTCATTAATTGATCTTGTTAAGGTAAGGCCGTCGGAGAAAATATTTATTGCAGTTTGGTCGTAGTTTATTATGTCAGGAAGTAGAAGATTAAGACAAACTAGAGACTGAAACCGGTGAATGTGAAAGAAGATCACTTTAACGCACTCACTGTAGAATATTCCTATAAACACTGCAATATTTTTATCACTTGATGTAACAAGCGAAACAACTATCATTAGCGAGTTGTAAGATTCAAACTTTTTTTTACTTTGAATGATTTGCACGAAGTTGCGTTCACAGGAGAAGACGGCGGTGAACTGAATTACCACACAGCTACTCCGAAACGGCACTACTAAATCCAATATAATCATAATATAATGATAATACTCTTTGCGGGATCCGTGGATTTACTAGCAGCTAACTAATCGTCTTATGTGTGAATTTTGCCTCTTTTTCTAATCCGATTCAGGCATTAGACCAAGCGGAACAGTGTCAGGTTGTGATGACGGCCAACAGTGGCCAATATTTTACTACTGGAACTTAACATGGAACAAAATAACAATATACAAGTACATAAATAAATTATAGCAGGCAATATTTTGATTTCACAAAAATGTAACTTATGAATGTTGAGCTTGTGACTGTACTGGGGTAAATACTGATTTTAATTGGACCAGTTAAGTTAACCTACTTCAAGTAATTTGATAGAAACAATTTTATTAACTGTCGATTCTTATCTGTTTGTATAATAAATAGGTGGAATTGTCACAGTAGTGACTGTGACATTTTTGCATGCATAATTGTTGTTGAAGAAGAATATCATTTCCTACATAATAAGCGATGTCTAAAAAGCTATAAACCATAAACTAAACCATTGACTATACTAATGGGTGCTGATTTGTGATAACATTATGATTTTTATCGTAATAGAAAAGTGTACTCAGGACCGGCGCTTCTTTGTTTCTTGTTTGCTTGTGCGGCCTCTAGATTTTTAAGATACAGATAGATTTCTGTTCTTTCCTCTTGTAACACTAAAAGTTTCTTGAATTCAAGTACATGTTTTTCACGTAAATTATAACTTTTATCACTATGGACAAAGAAGTCTAGAAACAAATTTTTCTTACTTTGATCGATGCAAATAAAGTACTCACAAGTTCTTTATAGTTCGTGTTGAATCGAAATTACTCCCAAATCAACTAAACGCGATGCGGCTTTGTTGATCTTGGATATTTTTATTATTAAAATGTTAGAAATTAGAAAATTATTTGCAACATTATTATTATCAGTTTTTCTACTAGGTATGTAATATTATCGTTATAATAAATAATATTTATTACAATTAGTAGAAGCAGTACTAGAAATGAATAACTTATTACATTTATCACAATCGCATGCCTATTCAACTCATTTCTCTTAAAGAGTGGTGTTATTGTACAATAAAAATTTAAAATGCATGATCTAATAGATAGTACTTTCTAAATATGTATTATGTTATTTGTGTTAGGTATATATGGAACTTATAAAAGTGCATGATGATGAATTGGCAGGTTTGTGTAGGGTCAAAAAATTCTTAATTTTTTTTGTATGCGAGAAATCTTTATTATTTTTATACAAAAATATTACAACTTTTTAGTTTTCTATTATAAATTATCACTCTGGTAAACAAACTGAAGACTCGCATATTCATACATAAACGGTATAGACATAAATAAACTAGTTAGGTATATAAAATATATGTATGTTCATTAGGGTGTGTACATTTTTTAAATTTTGATTTATATAGGACAAATTTAATCGATTAACGAACAACTACTATTTAAATAACTATTTCATAAATAATTTAACAAAGATCTAAAATGAATTAATTTAAACAGGTTTTAGTTCCACAATCATGGTAATGTGTATAATGTTATTAATTAAATAGAGCTTCTGTTTCCAGTAATATGCAATAAAAAATATTTGGTCCCGACGGCACTATAGTTGTTGACATCACCAACTTTTACATGAGTTGAGTAAAATAAAAAACCAACTAATTTGGTAAAATTAAATTAAATTGCCATAATATTAATATTTTAATTAGAGAATGTATATTTAGTATTGTATGAAATATGGATAATCAGGAATTGGAAATATAAAATAATGATTCATTTGACAATGAATTCGATAATAGAATGGATATTTTATGAAGTGAAAAATGAGTCCGTTTACATGTGAGTAATGATAAGTAGAAGTTAATTGGTGTAAAATAAAAAGGATAGGGATCATCAAATGATGACGGCGAACCCGTATAAACAAACCAAAACAATATACTAAAAATAATCCGCATTAATCAAATCGGATTAAAATAAAAACGGAATTAAAAGCGCAAATCGCGTCATGGAGTGGCTCGTGTTCGTGAAAGAAGCGTCCGACACCGTCCTCTATTCGAAGAAGTACGTTTTGAGTGAAAACTCACCTTATCGAAAAAAAGAGGTGCAAAGAAACAGATGAGAATATCGGTGCACAACGTAAGTCAATATATATCACTCCATCTATTTGTTCACTTAGTCAAACACAATGCGGAGTTAAGCCGAGGTACTTAGTGTAGATAAAACCCGAGTTTAGCGCAAATCGGTTTACAGTGGATTCCTAACTATATACACGCTCCTAATACGAAAGCTGTATTAAATAAGTAGAATTGATCCTCACTTTTCGTGGCTGAGGACACGCCCCACGCCCCGCAAGCGCGTCGGGGAAGCTCGGTGGCAAAGCGCGATGCACCGCAGGAACGGCGTAGCGGCCGTCCACCGCGTCTACGGCCTACGATCGGGATCTTCCGGACCCAAAGCTCATAAGCTCAAAACCACCACATGCGAGGACGAACGGCGTCACCTGCAGCATAATCGATACTGAAAGAAATAAGGATCATATCCTGCGATTACCTCTTTAAAAAAACACACCTCCAATTTAACTAATTTTTTCCGGTACCACATTTTTAACAAGTAAAGCAGGTAAATTTTTGTCGGAAGAATTTTAACTGGTAACAATTTTATAATTCAACAGAATCAGAATGAGTCAAAAAAGCTAATTTGTCAAAATTTTTGAGAAGTGTGTTATAAATATTTTCTATACTTACCCACTCTTATGGAACTAAATAACTAAATAACATCTTTTATTTTTTTTAACAGTTTACAACATACTAATATTACATAGCACATGTAATGTGTGTATGTAATTATTTTTTAAAAGTGGGAGTAAAAAAGTTTTAAAGCTTTAAAATCGCTGTGATCTATTTTATTAAACTGTGGTTGAAGAATATCAAAAAGTTTAATAATTATTTTACGCTGTCATAAAATTTTGTCAATTACAGACAAACACTAATTTTCTATTAGTATCAGAGATAAATATCGATGTGATAAATAATAACTTTGACTAATAACTTTTTAATTTATAAAATTATAATTTTACATATTGACTTGCACCTTTGTGTCTATAAATTTGCAAAATCGTAAATAAAAAAGAAACTTCCTTAAATACTAAAATTTCGCCTAAAATTGTAGTCGATGAAATTTAAATAAACAAACAAAAATTTAGTTAAAATTAAAGTTTGAATTTAGATTCGGTGTTAAACTAATACACCATCTTAGACTTTGTCAACCACTGGTTTATTAAGTAAAAAAGCACACGTTTTTATTTTACTATTAATTTAATTCTTTTTTGTTTTGAAAATTTAGAGTTTAGAACTTATAACTCTATAAAAGATTCCTAATTTAAAATTTACTGTTTTAAAGCTTTTAGTTTAAAAACCTAAATTTTGAATGTACCTACATACAGTCGAACAAAATGAAAATATAAAAAGAAAGATAAATGAAACTTTAATTGTACATGCCACTTTTAATTTTATCTTTTTAGAGATACGAGTTACACCTGACTAAAATCTTTAGGTGTTGTACTAAAACCAAAGGTTGAATTTTCTCATCAGTACAAATTTAAAAAAAACTTGAAAACGTAACTTTGTCAACACAATATTTCTGAACTGATTAGCGTGTACGTAAAAGAATCATTTACAAACAAGCAACGTCTACGAGTATAGGTAATATTCTCATAAGAAAATATACTTAAGTAATATTAATTTAGAGAAATATCTGTTTCTTCCAAAATAAAAAAAAAATTGGACATTTACTACTCTCGTCATAAACTTACAAATACGATGACGATCATTTATTAATTCAGTATAGGTAATGTCTTTTCTTATTGAAAATGGACAAGATTAAGTACGTCATAAAATCGCTTAAAATTGAAGCAGTTTCTGTAATTTAATTATTTTCAATGCACGCATGATGCTTTTATGGCATGTTAGTGGAAATATCCATAAAATGTGGGTCATAAAATACAAAATCATCTCTTCTCATAAATGTCACATGTCGCATGTTGAAGAAGTCTTTATTGCATTTGGGGCGTACAAAATTATAACAAGTCATAATTTATGACTAAATATGAACTCACACATTAAACAAATTAAAAAAATATACCTAATTTAGATTACACAAAATTTCCCTACATTTTTTTTCCAAAGAAAAATGGTTGCAGGTCCTTAAATTTCTGTCTTTGAAAGCATCCAATTTTATAGGAGACTATTTCGGGGAAAACAGTGTTTTCCTCACCCTACATCCTGTCAGCAGTAAATACTCATCTGCACTTGCTCATGCAAGACTTGCTCAGGAATCGCACCTTTAGGGAAACGTATTCGAAAATTTTTCAAGACTTGTTTGGACGTATGTAGTGTTGGAAAATTGAAAACATCCCCACCTGCACTATTCTGGACTCCCCACCTAGATGGAAAAGTTTGTGGTCCAATGAAAAGCTCCTGAAAGCACAAGCTTGTCTTGTGCAGAGGAAAATGTTGATAGTCGAACGATAATATGAGTGAATTATCACTGCTTATAGGTAAGAGATGTGCTTATTGTGATTTTTAAAATTTTACAAATGTGTTAGTGAAGGATAACAAAATGTTTTCATTGCATTATAACAACAAACTTAAAAAAATTTTGCTTAAAAAAAAAGAAAATCAATGTACATCGCTTAAAAAATTTGCGATTTATTTTTGGTTTGGGACAAATCTTGAGAATTAGTTGAGAAAGTCGTTACAAAAACTCTTAAGTATCTTTTACGCGTTCAAGCTACTTAAGCGAATTGAACGTAATCAATCTTAAAATCACCAATGATCGATCCTATTATAAACACGTCTATTACAAGAAGAGAGTA